GATATTGTCCAAATCTTGCAGGAATACTGAGCTCTACCAAGAGTGACTGGACTGGAGCATGTGGTAATTGACTGACATTTATGTAAGAAGCCCTAGATTTGTATTCTCTCTGTTAAAATCATGTTTAAGATAGGACTAGAGAATGATTATTTTAACTTTCTCCTTTTTCAAAGAAGAGTGAAAACAATCATTATCTAGGCCCGAAGACTTAACTTTATTATTTGTACTCTCCAGATACTCAGATTAAGTAATAACCATCATTTACAATGCTGCATGAAACTAGTTTTCATCCTTATTCCAAGCGTATCTTCCAGCAGGTTTTCCAAAGGGAAATGAAAATATTGGCTTTTCCTCCTATATGATAACTTTTGACAAGGAGTTTGTGTATATTATTCAAGGCACATATTCACGTTTGGAAATTCTGTCAAAGTAGGCAGCTCTTTAGTGATCATTGACTGTCAATTACTCTCAATGGAAGGTTACAAAACATATTTATGTCTTCTATGAACATAAAATGCTGAATTAAAATTTTATGCCCTCAGATTTAACACAAAGCTGTTCTTAAAAATAAAATGGTTTTAATTTAGATATTAGTAACTTAAGGAAATGGGCAATGTCAAGTTACTTTATGAAGATTATATAAATCTGATGTAAACACAATTCCTATGGATTATTTTGGCAATCAAAGGCAATTCTGTCATTTGCCATTCCAGTCAGCAATCCTAATTACCACTAAATATATAAATAAATATTTTTTTCAGTAGATGGCATTTGCTCTCTATACATATGCCTCTTGTAGATGCCTCTATATCTCGAAAGAAAAGAATTAACACTTGTTTTGGTTTCTTTAAAATCAATGACAGTATAGCATTATATTTGGATGGATGGGTGTTGACTAGACCAATGCCTAGAAAACTCTAGTTTGGGTACAAGTCACCTGAAGTGCTTACTTAAATATGGATTTCTGGGCCTCACTCCCTGAGTTTCTGATTCTGAGTTAGGCCTCAGATGAGCATGAGAATTGCCTGTCTAACAAACTCTCAGAGGCTGCTAATTCTGCACATAGCAGCCCTGACTGAATAGCATGAGGCTCAACAACATAGGAGAATCAGATGTGGAACACAGAAAGAGAAGTGGAAGGGATGAAATAGATAAAGATTATAAGTATCTACTTGTGGGTTGAATAGTAGCCCCCAGAAAATATGTTCTCCAGGAACCTCAGAATGTGACCTTATTTGGAATTAAGGATCTTTGCAGATGTAGGTAAGGATTTTGATATGAGATCATCCTGGGTTAGGTGGACCTTAATCCAATGATGAGCATCCTGAAGAGTCTCTCCATAAGAGACAGACTTCTATCCTACAGAACAATAAGTAAATAAATTTCTGATGCTTTCCCAAGTTTGTGTTAAATTGTTATTGCAGCCTTGGATAACAAATAAACTCCCATAAGTCCAACCATACCAAAACATCAAGTTCTGCCATATGCTCTGAGGAAAAAGGATAGAATTCTGATACTAGCCCAGTGGATTAGTATAATAGGTTAGACAACAGTTGAATATTGACTAATTGTTGAGCTCTGTTAGATATTTTCTGGGGTGTTATTTAATTTCATCTTACCCCCAAATGCTTTAAGGTAGTTATTTTTTAGCAGTAATTATTAAAGATCTTGAAATACAGAATGGTCATTTAGTCAGAAAATACTTATTACATGTCTGCTTTATACCAGGCTCTTGCTACATATTCCAGTGGTAAGTGATTTACCAGAAGTGATACAGCTAGTAAGTACCAGGGATTAAATTCAAATCATGATCCTGTCATTCCAAATTCAATGTTCTTCTCCATCATATCATATTTTATCAAGGCTTGGAGCTGGAATGTACAGGGCATTTGGCAATACTGACTACTAGTTCATTTTGGCTGCTATGGAATATTTAACAAAGCAGAAAGGAATTTATTATCTCTAACAGAAATCTCATTGATTTATGGAAGGTATTTAACATTATTTCTTTCTATTAATACCTATGAAGTAGTTTGTACTTTGTTACCTTAATCTTATTTCCCCTTGTAGCAACCCTTTTACTTTAAGCTCAAATATGCACATAATTTAAGCTGATCCTTAATAACAAGATAAAAATAATAGCTCTACATTGTCTTTGGAGATGTAGAACAATGATTTTTAGACAATAATATTTCCATATACTTCTTACTTTACTTACTTTCCACAGTGCTGGAAAAAGTGCTTGAATATTACCTTGAGGTTAAAGATCACACACACACAAAAAAAACCCACTTATTTTTTAACATCATAATAATATGAATTCCCTGAGTGTTTCATACAAACTTCTTTTGAATGATTATTAAGGTATTTAAGCTGTTTAATAATGCTTTAAGAGTTATTAAATTCAACCTTCATCTTATTATAATTAATGCTTTTGAACATACAATGTGAATGGCACTCTGCTAGCTGCTAAACATTTAGTACATTTAAAAAAAAAAAGTGTTCCCACCCCTTGCAGTGTGGATGCTTGTATCAAGATCAGTAAAATTAAGATCAATGTAACCGTGAAAGATTTAGACAAAATGGGCTAAGAAACTGCTCACTTTCACAGGTTAAAGTGAAAAGATAAATAAAAGGAAGCTAACAAATATTAAGGTGAAAGTTGCATTGAAGTTTTATCTTGGGAAATGAGGGTAAATTGTATGAATTTGTTAAAGATTTAACTCAACAACCATGACAGTACAGAATGGACAGTAGCACTGGCACTATTTTTTCCTAGTGATAATTTGTTTTGATTGTATCTTTCTCTGAACATTTATTCATTCATTTACTCTCCAAACACTTCACAGGCACCTATAGGATACAAGGTTTGGCATGGAGACAAATATATTATCCAGTGAGAAGATAAGTCACGTGTACTATTAACTAAAATGTACTACAGTGACTCTGATCTAAATGGATCATAACTCTTATCATGGATTGGTTCATGGGTGAATGTAAATTCTATATCTATGAATTAATTACAAATTTTATTCAGCTATCTTTTGGATTTTGATTTCTTATTTATTGCATTTTAGCCAGTGACTTTGGTCTGTAAAATAGAGAAGTTACTTTAATACTTTTGAGGCTTCCTTTGTGACCTAGTAGGTGATCACATTTGTAAATGTTTCAGGCTTGAAAATAATACATATTCCTTAATTATTCAGTGCCAGTTTCCAGTGCTAGTTTATTAAACTTATTTGTGTTACTGAACATTACTGTTTCTTTGCTAATTTTTTTGCTTTATCATTTTCATATGAAAAGTAAATTAAAATATCTCATTTTAACTGTAGATTAATCAGTTTCTACTTGCGATTCTTTTCTGTTTTTTGCTTTATATATTTTAAGGCTGAGCTTCTAGGTATGTATAGGTCAGGACTGTTATATTTTCTGGATGGATTGTTTCTTTTAGCATTAGATAATAACCCTTTTTATCTCTGATTATGCTTTTTTTTTCTAAAGTAACATTGCTATGTTGGGTTCCTTTTGTTAATCATTTATATGTTATATTCTATCTCTTTACTTTCCATTTTTCCATGTCACCAAATTCTTTAAAAACTATACCTTATTGAGATGTAATTTATTCACTCTTTTTTTAAAGATTTTATTTATTTACTTGAGAGAGAGTGAGAGCCAGAGAGATGAGCAGTGGGGAGAGGCAGAGAGAGAGGGAGAAACAGACTCCCCACTGAGCAGGGAGCCCGATGTGGAGCTTGATCCCAGGACCCCGAGATCATGACCTGAACCAAAGGCAGACACTTAACCTACTGAAACACCCAGGCACCTTAATCACTCTTTTGAAGTATGCAGTTCAGTGGTTTTTAGTATGATCACAGTTTTGTAGTCAATACATATAATACTTCAGTATGTACAGTCAATACAATATAATTTTAGAACATTTTTTTTCATCACCCCAAAAGGAAACCTCACACCCATTAGCAGTCACTGCCCATTTCCCACCTTTCACTAATCCCTGGCAACTACCAATCTATCTCTGTCTCTATGGATTTGCCTTTTTATGGACATTTTGGATAAGTAAAATCATACAACATGTAGTCTTTGTGTTTGACTTTTTTCACTTTTCACTTAGCATAATGGCTTCAAGATTCATCCATGTTATAGTATTTGTCAGGACTTTGTTGTTTTTAAAGGTTAAATAATATTCCATCGTATGGATAGACTACATATTATCTACCCATCGATGGATATTGGGTTGTTTCTACTCTGGGGCTCTTATGAATAATGCTACTAGGAACATTTATATACAATTTTGTATGGACATAATGTTTTCACTTCTCTTGGATGTATACCTAGGAGTAGAATTATTGAATCATAAGATAATTCTACATTTAACATCTTGAAGAACTGTCAAACTGTATTCCAAAGTGGCTCCACCATTTCACATTCTTACCAACTGTGTGAAGGTGCTGATTTCTCCACATCCTTCATCTCATCTTCACTTAGATATTAAAATCCCAAACACTTTGCACCTATCCTGATACATTTTTGTAGGCCTTCACCATGTCAGTTCCTATCTGTATAGTTTTGCACTCCACGTGTTTCTGGCATCTGAATAGTTCTTTTTCTTTCTTTAAAGGTGATTTATGTTTTTAAAACTTAGAGGTTGTTTAACCTAGTATTATTATGTGTTTAACCTAGTATTACTATATTATTATGAGTAGTATTAAGTGAGAAGGGGAGTGAAATGGGAGATGGGCATTCATACTGGATTAGTTTACTATTCCTGGAAGTTGCACAGATCAGTGTAATTGTAGTGACCTTTAAGTGGTGTGATTGTAGTGACCTTTAAGTGGTTGAATTGGGGTTTCAGGTGTGGTTGAGAGCTGTGGGCCAGAGTTTATCTTCTGGACTAAATTACTTGGACCATAGGGGACCCATTATCTTACTGAACTCATCTAGTCCCAGTTTAACTAACTCATCTTTTTGTTGTTATTTTATAGATGCAAGTTTCCAAAAACACTACTGAAAAGAAGCAGCCCAAATTTAGAAGAAGGAAAAGGTATGTTTTTTATTGAGAAGTATTATGATAAACTTGAAATGTATATATTGGATTTAATTGTTATGACATTTCCCCCTGATTCTTGATTCTTGATTCTTTTTCTCTAAGGAAGCATTAAAATTTTCTAAAAGAATTAAAGTATAAGTAGTAGTCTTAGAAGTATGGAGAAAGGGCAGCCCTGGTGGCGCAGCGGTTTAGTGCCGCCTGCAGCCCAGGGCATGATCCTGGAGACCCTGGATTGAGTCGCATGTCGGGCTCTTTGCATAGTGCCTGCTTCTCTCTCTGCCTGTGTCTCTGCCTCTCTCTCTCACTCTCTGTGTGTGTGTGTGTCTCTATGAATAAATAAAGTCTTTAAAAAAAAACAAAAAAAAAGTATGGAGAAAGTTTTATGTTTATACAAATATGTTGAAGCAGAACTGTTGAAGATTAATATCATGGGAGCAAGCAGATGAGAAGCAGGTGCTTAGTTTAAAAATAGTGCAAACCAGAAACAGACCTTTATAATGAACTGATAAGCCACTGATGGCAGGTTTTAGTGTTTATCATTGAATCAACCATACAGTTTATTTACTTATTTTTTTGATGAATGATAATCAGTGCTGTATTAAAAGGAGTCCTGCTCAAAGACAAAGTCTGACTCTGGTGTAACAGTCCTTCTCTTATTCTTTGTCCTTTTTCAGAAGACGGATAATTAAATTTTTAAAAAGGACTTACTGCCTTATCTTAGTTATGCTTCATAGTAACCCCATCAAATAGGCAGGGGGTGTATCATAATCATTTCTGTTTGAAAGATGAAAAGTTTATGACTTAGAGAAACTAAATGGCTTTCTCAAGATCTTCTGGTTAGAGAAAATGTGTTTGAACAAATGTTTTCTGACTCTAAGTCAGCAACACAGTATGGTGGGAGAAGCATGGATTTTGCAGTCTGACAGAATTTAGCTGTGTCATGCTCAACCTTTTCCTGCACTGTCAAATTTCTCAATTTCTCAGAGCCTCAATTTCTTTATAAAATGAGAGTAGCAATTACTTACTAGGTTTTTTTTGGGGAAAGATTACATGAAAAAGCCTATATAAGGTACTCAGTGACTCATTAGTGATTTTTACCTAGTGAGAGCTCAGATCAATATTATTTCCCTTTGATTTTTCACTGTATCCTGCTGTCTTACTGTATAAAACAACCAAGGAAAAGTACCTCAAGATAAAGGAATATATTCATAATTTACAATTATCAATGAATATACACAAATAACCATTTAAATATACATGATTGGTCTTTTGAAACTAAATCTGTCAAATTCGTTTTCTAGGAAAGCTATTTTAAAATGCTCTTTTGAAAATGTTTGTTCAGATGATGCCTTATCAAAGGAAAACATGGGTATGTGAAGACCTCTCCTGCTTTTAGTTCTTTTGCTTCTATTTAATTCTCAAAAATGTAGTTGTAATTTTTGAAAAGAAAAAAAAAACGTTTATATATATATGTGTGTGTGTGTGTATATATATACACATACGTGTATGAGAACTATTAGTAGGTCATTTTTGGTATTGGTTTATATCCTAGAAATTTTCAGTTGTCTTTAGGTTTCTATTCCCATGAATTAAATTTTTCTGGCTCCGTCATGTATTTAATTAAAAAAAACAAACACCAGAGGTTGTGGGAGGAAATACCAGAATCAACACATTAAAATCCCAAATCTCTCCATTCCAAAATTATTGGGGTCCTGGAAGTGCCAATGGGAGAGAAAGAAGAAAAGCAGCAGCCTGGGGCTTCCAGCTGAATTAATTGCCATTGATATTAGAACACAGTAGGGTGAATGTGGAATACAGAGAGAAAGTTTTAGTTTTCAAAAGCACTTTACTCTTCCTTCATTTTCGTTTTTCTTGAAAAGCAGGTAAATGCTTATTTGCAAGATGGAACTTTTGGCAGCCACGTAAAGAGGTTTCAAAGTCCATTAAACCCCAAGATGTTATCTGAACCATATTCCCTCTCTTTTGTGGCTACCCCCAGGTCCTATGGCATTGTGTTTCAACTGACTAAATAAGCCATTCATCTTTAGACCTATTAAAAGAAAGTAGTCAGAAGAAGGACAGAGTAGTTATCTTTTTTAATCCTTCTGTTCCCCTCCTAAGCCAGTAGAAAATTCCGTAGTTTCTATCTCAAATTTATTCTGCTGCTACTTTCCTGCTAACCCAGTGCCTTTTCTTAGCTATGTTGTCCCTTTGCCTTACACGATTAGTTCAAATATTCCTGTAGAAAGGCAAAAGTCAGCTTATCCCTGGACTGAGTTCCCACTAGGAGACCTTGGTATTCAGCTGAGGGCTCCAGGGCTAGGGTCCTTCCCCATCCAACTCATGGGGCTACTGCAGAAGAAATGCATAACAGCTAGAAATCCATTGTCTGGAAATCACTCTTCCGCATAAGTGAGTGAATACATCTCCATAGTTATCCACTGACACCCTTTCAGTAGTCTCACATTCTCTGTGATTCTCAAGTCTCAATAGTTAATTGTTCAAATCATTAACCTAATCTATGTTTTACTCCTCTATCCCATTTTGAACAACTAAAAAGCAGAAACATCTAATCTACTGTGTTCTTTGCAAGTGCTGACTAGTTAACTACTTCTTGAAAGAGTGGTTCTTTATCAGTAGATAACCCCCCTCGTTTTTTTTACTCCCACCCATATTTCAGTGGATTCCTTGATCTAAGTCTCTGATATCACTTCTTTTCTTCTTGGCTTGAAGTAGGATCAGTCCTAGATCAAGTAAAAATTATACCATCTTCTTCATGAATGTCTGCCCTACTTTTTGGAGCCACGTTAAAATCTCCCATAAGTTTATGCCCAGATTTGCTATTCCTTTCTGGATTTTAAGCCCTACCATTTGCTTTTCTTTCTTCCTTAGTTAGAGATCAGGAGGAGAGCTAATTAAGTGTATCTACTTTACCTGTCCAAGTGTCAGTTGTTTCATCTGTGATAAAGATATGCAGTAGAAGCCCTTTTATCCAACAAGGAGAGAATATCTGGAAATTAATAGACAAGTTGAGGGATCATTAAATAATGTAAACTGCATGCAGATTTAATCTAAGAAATAGCTATTTGTGGAGCATATCTTTGTTTGGGGAGAATTACTACCAGGAATATTATGAATTATATTTGTATTGTCCCTCTAACTCATCTTTATTCAGTGTTTAGGGACAAGAAAATTCATCTATAGTGATGAAATAATAATACCAATAGTAATAATGATAGCCAACACCTATAACAATAACCATGTGTCCTCACTGTTCTAAATGCTTCATATATATTTATTTAGCCCTTATAAGATCTCTATGAAGTAAATAAGGTAGATATTATTATATTTCTCATTTTATCAGTGGGGAAACCAAGACACTTACAAGGCTATATGGTTTTTCTAAATCATGTATCTTCTTTAAAGTGTGCAGCTCTTTCCTTGTTGGTTGCTTTGAATATCAAGAATCTTAAAGCTAAATTATGTTGGGTTTGGGCACAATACTTGTAGTTGAGTTAAGCAATTTTAAGATTTCAGTATTACTCTTCTATACCCCCTTAATGAATTGATTTTCAATTTCTTTTTATCTTTGAGTTTTTGTTATTTGTATTATTGTGTCATTGGTTTTTGTTGGTAAAGGCTTAATTTCTTTTGGGGTAGTAGACAGTTTATAGAAGTTTAAATAAATAAAAAATTGGCATGTTATCCAGGTTCAACTAATAATCTATGACATTCATTAATAAATTAGCAAAGGATATATCCATCAGCTACCTGAAACAGATAAGCATGGGAAAAGATGGTTAATACAGGAAAGGTCTATATCATGGGGAAAGCCCTAGGGAAGCTTAAAGGCCTTAGGGGCTGGGGTTGGGAGGTAGAATGGAGTGACATGGAGAAAGGTGATTTCTTGCTGCTCAGGACAAACTTTTCTCACCTACTCTTGGTTTAGAGTTACCTTTAACCTCTGTACTAAAAGGTGGGGTTGGCCCACATGCCCCTTTCCTAGAAAACTCCTTACCTCCTGTTTCTGTTTGTGTCCCCAGGAATGGCGCTCTCCTTTTCATTACACTCCAACTTGTATTTTACTCACCTCTACCTTTAAATTGTGAACATATAAAAGGAGTGTTTGTGATTACTTAATAACAAAACAAAATCCAAGTACTTTTTCCTTTCCTCACCCTCCTGTATATAAACACCTTCAAAATTTCAATATTGAAATGACCCTGAAAGTTTATTGAAGGTGATATTTTTCAGTGCCAGCTTTGGGGTAGGTAGCCTAACCAGTAGCTTCTTTATATATGGAAATAAACAGCTTCTTTAAACATTTAGTAGAAAGGTAGAGATTGGAGAAAACTCCAATAATATATATTTAAAGACTTTTAAAATAGCAGCTGATTTATTGACACCAACAATAAGTTATTTCTTATTATGAGTAGAAAAACTACACAGATTATTTTATAAAAATTCATTTTTAAAAGCCTGATATGGACTTCAGTATAAAAGATACCTCTTACTTTTTTTTAAACTTTCTCTGAGTGATGGAATAACTTTAATGCTACCACTTTACTCGAAACAACAAATTGAAACAAGTCAGGGGAGTACAGGATAAACAGTATAGATAGAAGATGATTGGTCATGCAATCAGCAAAGGCATTCATTCTGTCTCTATCTTTGGAGGATATCATTGGCCAATTTTGATAACCTAGTTTGTGGATTATAGTAACTGCTGTTTCTCGAGAATTATTTTTGAACTCCATTGGTTTACAATATAGGAATATCTATTTAGAAAAGCAAACCTCCCATTGCTCTGGAAGCAGAATTTGACATCAATCAAGTTGGTGTTATGAACCCTGGTTGATTTATGAAGTCATCCATTACTTTGTCTACCCTTTGATCAAAAGGCAGTGTACATATTTTTCCAGATCACTTGAAAATGGAGGGCCTACAATGCCATTCGGCAATGACATTCATTATCATAAATTGATTGTATTTTAGCCTAGCCTTAGAAATATAAAGATGTTCGTATGCCATTTTTCCTTTATAACATAGCTCAAAATCCATCTTCTCAACAGTGCATTAAATGTCAGTATCAATTTCCTTAGACTCAGAATCTAAAGTAGGAAAACACAATATCTGTGAGTGGCATTAAGAATCAGTGTGAAGATAACCACACTGTCTGTTAAGTAATAGGTTACTAAGTAGGAAATCTATTATAAAGAGAGGTTAATTCCATTAACAAAATTGCTTCAATAAAAATATACATAATTGTAGAAAATTCTGATTCAGTAGGCCTGGGTTGCATTCATCTTTTTTAAGTAAATTCTCATGTGATTCTTATGCCTACCAAGTTTTGAATACCATTGTTTTAGAATGTAATAGTTCAAATTCTGTGTTCCTGTGCTTTAGCAATTACACAGAACACATATCTATGTGGACAAAACTAACATGTCAGTTACAGTTTTTGTTGTGTTTTTAAACCTAGGAACTGGTTCTATGATATACAAATGGCTTACCAGAAGCTACTTTCAAACTGTTTTTGAAAGAACTCTTCCACAGAGAAAACCTAAGTTGACTGGGAAGAGATGATGACCAGGAAGGCTCATTGGTCTGTGCCTACACTCTTGAATCCTTTGCCCTTAGGGACTGACATTTGTTGATTGAATATAAAAGTACTTGGGCCAAGTGATAAGTATTGATGAAAAAATATTTTTGTAGACAAAACTGTGATGTGAAAAATGTTAATAAAATTTTTTTAATACTGTAGTGACAACCAAGAATAGGAAAGTTTTCTATTTCATAGCCTCCCATGACTTTATTTAATGGTATTATTTAATAATGTTCTAGGAGAATTTTAAAATTTCCTTCTTATGAGTAAAAGATAAGAGAAAATTATCAACAAAGGAGATTTAATAAAACATGGATTCTTTTGAACTGAAGGAAAGAAAACATAAAACTTTCCACATTAACAATCTGTTTTTCACCTTACAACATAGTGTACAAGGATACGTGTGTGTGTGTGTGTGTGTGTTCACACAGACATAAAGGGATGCATATATTGTATGCATTCTTCCTAAAAATAACTAATTAGAAAATTTTAAAATATGTTTAACAATTAAACTAAAACTTAGTGCTGAGAATGCCTTGCTTCCATATTCACTGATAATATTTTAGCTTGAAAGCATATGTCCTGCTTGCTTGGGTCTATTTTCATATTCCATGAACTTTTAGCTGTTCTACCTAGTGTGATTTTTGGTGACCTGCCAAAGAATGGTAGATAATAGGAGGTGGTATGTCAGATTTTTGTCACCAGAGTAAAAAATGATGAGGTATGTATTCATGGCCTTTATCTTTGAATCACGTTGCCTTGGAAGGACATCTCAGATGCTCCATCTGTCTCTTGTGCAGGATAGCAGGCCACATGTGGTCTCCTTTCCTTGATATTTACTTCAACAAGACTATATCAAACAAAAATGTTTATATTATTTGAATCGGGAATTCAACTGCATGTTATTAATCAGTAGTTGAGTCTATAGACTCAAGTATAGTGTATATAGTTATATAATGGTAATCTATTTCTTTTGTGAGGATATTATTACATCTTATCAAACTCAGTGAATTCATGTCACAGTAGTACACACGCAAAAGAATTTTGTAAGTGTGGTATTAAAAAAATGTATATAATCAGATTAAGCAATTAAGATGTGCTGGTATTTGGATTAGGAAGAGATTAGCCTGTGTTTAGATTAGCCACTTAATTACATGATTTTCCCTTTTAACAGTAGTTTTAATACTTTGCTGTAGGGGTGGCAAACTGAGGCCCACAGTCCATTTGTTTTTCTAAATAAAGCTTTATTGGAACATAATCACTTTCATTTGTTTAGGTACATGTCTGTGGTTTGTACCATAACAGCAGAATTGAGTGGTTGTGACCGAAATCACAAAGCCTGCGATATTTACTCTCTGTCCCTTCACAGGAAAGGTTTGCTGACCCCTGGTTTATAATAAAGCAATTTAGTTTGGCCCTGACTGAAAACAAAACAAAACAAAAAATACTTCTAGTGGGCTTTTTGTGATCTACATATAGCAAGAATATCACCTACATTTTTAAAGGAATAATTGTGAAATATTTGCCTGGAAATCCATAATTATTTTGCATCAAGTAGAGGCCATATGTGAAAATTATAAAAAAAATATATTTTTTAATCTTGTAGCATTTAGATGATTTTATCTTTTGGGGTGGTTAAGATTATGGATTCATTTGAATTAACTAAGATGTAATATTTTTTACTACATTAATTATGTTTTTTAGTTGTCTCTGAGGCAGAAGTTTTACTAAAAGAGTTGGAGCAAATGCTACAGCAGGCACTAGAGCCCACAGCAGCACCTGATGAGTCTGAAGAGGAGCATGGAAAGGAAGTAAATGCAGGAAAAAAGGTAGCCCTGGTAATCATGATTAGGCCTAAATAGCAACTTCAGATTCTGTAAATGGTAGAAACTGTTTCTGCATGTACATTTTACTTAGGTGGAAAACTTTTTTTCCCTTCTGAAATTTGAGCCCTTGATTATACTAAAGTGAATAATAAACTAGTAGCCTGTTGAAAAGTCAGAATGCATCTATCAGTCTTTGAATAAAGTCTGTGAGTGGAGAAGCCCTTTGTATTTCAGATCTTTGAGGTTGGAATGAAGAAAGAATGGAGGGGGCTCACAGTAGTTGATGGGGTGCCACTGCAGAGAGACCTCTCCACTGCTGCTGATCTTCACAGTCAGAAGGGGCCAGAATAAGAGCAGCTTGCTAAGAAACCTGCCCTGCCTGGTTCATGCACAGGGACAACCTCTGTGAGGACAAACCTCATTATTGACACACTGGAGGTAGAATTTTCCAGTTTTGTTCTTTTGGCCACCTATGTTGGGCTGAGAAAGTCCATGGGTGCTTACTTTACTCAGTATTTGTATGTGACAACATAGGTTTTAATTTGGTTGACAAACTGCTCGGCACATCAGCTCCAAGTTTGTGCAATAAAATGAGGGTACAAGCCTAGGTCATTAATACAGAGCAGCAGTGTGGTGGTAGGTTTGAGAAAAATAAGTCATAAGGCAGACGCTTCCACAAGGCAGTACAGCTGTTCTCTAATAGGAAGAAAAATGGAAGCAAGAAGTCCTGTATCCTTAAGATTTTGTTCATTCTGCATTCATTCATTTAAACGTATACAATGCCTGGAGCCAAGAGAGCACAATGGTTAGGAACACTGACTGTGGAATATAATATCAATGTCCCAATCCTAGTCCTGTCATCGAGGACTTGTGTAATTTGGTACAGTTGCTTATCACATGCCTCAGAGGATTTTTGGGGGGTTAAATAAGGCAAATCAGGAAAAGTAGTCTGTATGGTAACTGACACCTAAGGTTAGCTGTTATTATAGACGAGAATTGGCAGTGGCAGCCACTAGAGAGAAGAAGGGCTGAGATTTCCTTTCTTCATTTCATTCCCACATTCTCACTTTGGAGCAACTACCCATTCCCAAGTCTGTCCCTTCTCAGATGCTGAAAAAGGTGTATTTGTATATGGGCAAGGTTGTTTACACACTTTGGAAGACTGCCCAATTGCATGATTTTCATTCAAAATTCCAAAAAGAAAAAGAATGATTTATAAACACCCCTGTTATTGAGTTAGAAATCAGAATATGCAAGATCTATAGTTAAAGAGATCAATACCCTAAAAGAAAATTAAATTAATGCTAAAAACTCTTACCAAGTTGAAAAACATAGTTTTCTTAATTAGCACTGGCAATATCAACCTATATCTGAATTTGCGTGGGTTGTGAATGCCATTTTTCCAATTAGAGTTCTTTTTTGAAAAAACTTATTTTCTCTATATGGATCTTACCTTTTATAAAGCAGGATCTATAGATTGGTGACACATATATTATATACATGTAATTAATATACAAATTACTCTTTTCTAGCAAATGTGTGCTTTGTGTGAGCACCATATGGTTTTGTGCAATGTTTTTTCAGTCTTTGCAGTTTGTCTTTTTAAAACTACAGCCAGGTTGATTTTTATTGAGATGTCCTGGAGCTTTTACAGCCACAGAATTGGCTTCTATTTTACTATTATAACTAGTAACTTGATAGAACAGAAAATTACTTCTGATTTTTATTTCTTAAGGTAAAATACATAGTTTTAATATATCACCAGGCAGGAGCTTGGGTTTTATTTTTGATTCTTGTATTATTTTATGCTTTCAAGAGCCATTTAGGAATTGTAAAAATTAACAATTTTAACTTTCTGGCAGGCAGGTGAGTGCCTCCTGTGGACTGGTTCATAAGCCATTCTCCACACTGAGCTTTGTAAGTCTGGCATTCACATCAGGTTCAGTGTATTTAGGGCCTTGTTCACTTTTAAATGAGGAGAATAGCGATGAAACCAACTATCAAAGCTGGAACAATTTCCAGTTTAAAAGAAAAGAAATGATCACCTCAGGGGTTTCTCTCTTTCTCTCTCTCTCTCTTTTTTTAAGTTAGCAGGGAAAATTAGTATGGCTTCCAAAGTTAACACCACTTAAAACTGAAGCTGTGTTTTGTTTGTAGGAGAAAGTGAACTCTTACAAGCTAACATACCAAAAAGAGCCACCTGATAATTTTAAGGTTCTGAGCATGTTTATTCTCTGAGCAGATATCATTTGAGCTATTTTCAAAGTTGTAAATATGATGGTGTTTTCATCCTTCATTTAATGCATGAGGGTTCAGGTTGATTACTGTCAAGCATTGGGTGAGGGTAGCAACACACACAAAAAAGCATACACAAGTAGATAATCAGAATTCTTTTCTATTTGTCACTGAAATGTTTTATGAGGCTATTTTCCTTAGTAAAGTCATCTTCCTAATTATGTTCTTCTTTAGCTAATATTAACACTGGTTGTCATGCCCCAGCTTTGCAAGCAATGAGAGAGAATTAATATCGGATTTTTATAAAATCCACCTGAATGATTCACAAATTCGATAAGCCATATGCATAAGACAGTTTAGTGAATAATTATTGTGTTAAAAGGTACAATTTTTTGATATGTGAAATACTTGTATAAATTACATGTATTTTTTTCTTAGTTTCATGGAAGTTCACTCTACCTTTAATGAACCTGGAAGTTAGAAATCTTATATGTGTTTATGGTTTTTTGTATTATTTTTACTAGTGTCTCTTTCTACTAAGCTAGAGAAACTATCACTATGTATAAGTAATGTAGAGGCTTTTGAGAAGCTAGCCATGGAAAGTGGAACTCAAACAATTTTAAGTTGTATTCTCTATAATAATAATTTTTAAAATAAACAAATATAGAAAAGTCATAGAATGAAACAGGTCATGTTTTCCCCAAGCTTAATATTAAAACTAAAATGTATAATGTTGGTGAAAAAAGAGAGGGCCTGAATAATCAGTCCTTCTTATATTAACACATTTACTATGCATTATACTCTATATGGGGATCATTATTTTATTTGACCACCAGCATAACAGAACACTTTGTGTTACTGCTATGGCTTATGGAGTTACTGACTACTTTACATTGTGTTCAAATAATTAAGCCTGGTCTTCCAGTAAGTTTGATGTACTTCTGATGAACCGTATGGTTATTTTTACAGTTATCTAAATGCAACCCTGAAGTTCCTGCATGCAGCCCATTTGAAAACCACTATGAAGAGGACTATCTTGTAATTGATGGGATAAAATTAAAAGCTGGAGAGTGTATTGAAAATATAACTAACAAGTTTAAAGAAATAGATGCTCTAATGTCTGAATTTTAGGGTATTATAGATATTTTCAAGAGGTAATTCTAAAAACACTTACATGTTTATATTTTCCCAAAGTCAAAAACTTGAAAATATGTAGGGAAATAGGTATATATAATACCAAAGCCAATATTTGTAATAACTTTCTATTTTATATTTTGAGACTAGCCACTGCTTTGAAAGCCAATCAAATGGTATTTCAGTTAGTGTTAAAAATTTTGGATTTAAGAAATCCTGATATTTGTATTTGTAGATTTTTTCTTGTTTGCCTTAATTTTAAAATAATTTATAGACTTACTGCACAAACACATGGTTTATAATGGATTATGTAGGCCCTTTATATGAATGTGGCTATTTAGATGGCTGTCAAGGCTATTATAATTCGTACAGGTAATTCATGTGTAGTAGAGACTTGAGAATGTATATTGGTAGTGGAATTAAGCTACTACAAAATAAAAGGAAATAATAAAAAAGTATTGTATAATAGAGTTAGAGCTTTTCTCAGAGATGTCAGTTGCCTTATATTGAAAATAATCACTTCAACCACAATTCCCAAAACTGATGAACAGTTTCAAAAGTGGGGGGAGAGACTGTGGAAAATCAGAATCCTGGATGCTTCTGCATTGATTCAGTGTCTCTGAGGGTGAGGATGGGAAAGTGTGGTGAAAAATATAAAGAGATAAGTTAAGCATATTTTCAATAAAAAATCTAAGAAATATAGGAATGGAAAAAAGTATATCATGCAAACCCAATCCCTTAACACCTCCCCTTCCACCCCATTGTATAGGGATTCCCGTGAACAGTTTCAGTGAGTGTCCTTTATCGTGTTCTAATGCACGTTCATCTCTAGTGCCCACACTTGGTCACTTTCCATGACTATGTCTCTCCTGGAACTGTGGGGTCAGAGAAAGGGCATTCCAAGCACATAGAAACAAAAACCAAAGCTTAAAGATAGAAGAAAGAGCAATACAGCATCCTGGACCTATTGCTAGTTGAATTAGCTGGAGTGACTATGTGCTGGTGTGAAGGTAGCCATAGCAGATGAGCAGCACTGTGTACACAGGTGAAGGAGTTGATAACTGTAGGGGCCAAGTGAAGAGTTTTAGACAGTAGAAGCCCTTTTATATTTCAGAAAGATCACACCAGCAGCAACACAGAGAACGGAGAGAGCAGGAGTAACGTTGGAGACAGGGGGGCCTATTAGGAGGCTGCTTGGGGAATTCAGTTGTGATATTATAAGAGCCTGAATAAGGTGGTGCTGTATGGAGAGAGCGGTGTGGCTTCCAGCTACATTAATATCAATGGATTTTTAGGATTTACAGATTGGATATAGGGATCCAACAGGTAGGAATGATTCTTGGGTTCTTATATTCACAATGCTGTTCGCTGAAGGTCAGAGTACACACAGAATTAGGGGCGCCTGGGTGGCTCAATTGGTTAACTCTCTGACTTCAGCTCAGGTCATGATCTCAGGTTCCTGAGATCGAGCTCCACACTGGGCTCCACGCTCGGCTAGGAGTCTGCTTCTCACCGTCTTCCTTTACCCCTCCCCCTGCTCGTGTTTTTCTCTCTTTCTCAAATAAATAAAATCTTTTTAAAAAAGGAATACATGCATATTAGAAATGGGAGGTGGGGTGCAGATACCAAGTTTGCTCAAACTGTGTGAGTTCAGCAGAAGTTCTATACTATTCATGCTTTGACAGACCCTGCCTTTCAGAACCACTCCATGAACCAGAGTGACAATGAATAGTCTCTCAGTACATCATATTTACTTCTCGATGGTATATCTTTTTCTTCTGACAGAATTATTCTGCAGCATTTCAGAAAAACTTCCCCTCTTTCTTTTAATGCTATGATTTTATATTCACAGCCTACAAAAGTGATCGATCCCATTTTCCTGTTACTTCTTAGAATCAACTATAAAATGATTACAATTGTATTTGAAAGACTTTACCTACAATTCGAGTGTTTGATGTAAGTGTAGAATTAGATCACTTGCAGCTAATTCCTCTTGGTGGAACAGCCAGTGCTCAGGGCTCAAAGTCAGATTCCATAGGTAAGACACTGAAACTTCCAGACTGACTTCATCCTCCATGTTCTAAGTTGTACAAGTCTGGAATTTCTACTGAAGTCTTTGTGCACTTGAGCAGCCCAAAATGGTTCTGAGAACAAACATTTGGGTTGGCTCAGTCTGCAGAGGAAACTTCAATCTGCTTCCAAGAAGAGGCTCTTGGGGAAAAGCCTTCTTCCAAGAAGAGGACAGAGGAGATCCTCCATCCTTGTGAGAGTATAGACTTTCAAGTTTCCACATAGAATGTGCTCAGAAAAACAGATGAAGGAACAATCGACTAACATTTCTATCCTCAAAGCTGAGAATCCTGCCTGGCTGGTAAACCCTTTCTCCTGATAATAAATACCCCATGTTCTGGAGCAGACCAGGTGACATACACCAGGGCATAGTGATGGGACTATGAGGACACAATGTCTGCCTTCAGGTTCCTGTGCTACCATCTACTTGTTGGGAGACCTGAGGCAAGTTATTTAACTTCTAAGAGCCTAGGATTTTTTCCATCTATAGAATAGAATTTGCTGTGAGAGAAAACATTAATATACATAAAATACATAGAACAATCAACACACAGAGAACTATGCAAGTTATGACCATGATTGTTGTCTCAAGGCAGTTCTCTTCTGACTGCCCTTGCCTTTTTCCTAGGCCTAGTGGACTAACGAGCTTCTTTCAGTAGAACTTTCAGAGTTGACAAACCTGCTTCTGGGCCACTGGGACCAAGGACTTATATGTGATTATGCTGACTCCTAACGGTGGACAATACCCTAGTTTTATAGCGAGAGTCTCTTGCTAGGCCTAGAGGAGGACATCTAAGGAAATTATATCTCCCTATCAAAAGAGGTTAAATTCTAAGTACACTACTTCTACCAAGTTTGATGTGAGAGGCATAAGACAGTATGTCAGGACATTCTGCCCACGCATTTGGGTTGGAATCAGAGCCCCTCTTTGCCTAGATTGAGGAGTAGCTGGCTGATCCTCTTTGGAATGAGTTGGGCCAAACCCACCTAGTGTACAGTCTCCATGAACCTAACGAAGGACTAGGTCCCTTGGAAGCTGAGTCCCCAGTTAGATCTGCATACTGTGGAGAGTTAAGCACCAATGCCAGTTCTGTGGTCCTATATTCCAGGAAGTTCTGGTCCATTTGCCCCATGCTAGAAGCTGAACCTAGGCAGGGATTTCCAGTGGTAAGAAGCTTAGCTATATCTTTAGTGGAGACAAGTGATGCACTTTTGATAGGTTAATCTCTTGTTGCCACAAATAGGATAAAGAGGAGAGGGCACCCGTATAATTGCAAAAGTCTGTAGTGTCTATAGCCTTGAACTCACTGGTTCTGCAGTGGAGGGTGATGGGCCAGAGATAGTTAGAACATCCACTAATAGACCTAAGCACCATCATAAACTTTATAAATCAGTCTAGAACCTCTGTGGGAAAATTTGATGATTAAATTTTTTGGAGGAACCTTTTACTCATGAACCTGAAGTAATCTGTGTCATGATGTTGATGGAATAAAGCCACTCTGTTATCTAATGCTCTACCAAATAGCTGGTATTCCAAGACTCCGCCATTTGTTGGGGCTAATAAATGGTATAGTTCTTTTCCAGATATTTTCAGACCAGTAGAATTTGCACCTGGAGCCCTTCTAAGGGACAAAGGTAAGATTTTTTTTAAACCAAAACAGAAGTACCCAAATCCTACTCTACTATTTTTTTCCCTCTGTATGGTTCCAAGAAAAGATCTAAATATAGTGCAATTAAAAAATTCTAAGTTCTTCTTGAGGACTGAGCCAGATCTTGCTGTCACACAGTCGAGTTCTAGAAGAGGTATTTCGTACAGATAAATTTGACCTTAAGGTCCAAGTGGGACATTCTGTGTACACAAATTTAAATACTAGTATTTTCCACCCACTGATAGGTTGCATGGTATAAGCACGCAGAGCAGTGAGCAGCATAATCAAATGAAAGGGTGAGGGAAAGATGAGAAACTCGTTTCCAAGAAAAATTTTGGAAGAATGAGTTGTTTGCTTTTAAATGCATATAGGGAACTACTACAGGAAAGGAGATATGCTCAGAACCAAATAAAACAAAACACAGTTTGCAGGCAGCCCTGAAGTTGCTGGGTTAAAAAATCAAAACTGTTTCTAATCTTCAGCCTCTCCAGCCAGAAAAAGATTCTCAAATTAAGATACAGCCTGGGGCCAAAGATCAAGTCCAGGGGCTGGTTGTTGAATCACATGGCAGGAGAGACAAAGACCAAATCTTGGTGACTGGCAGGAAAACATGGCCTCAGGGTAAGGACCCAATCAGGGGTGTGGCTAATAACTTTCTAAACTATTACAAAGTGACTTTAAAACCTCTTATGAAACTTAAAGGTATAGTACTACTGCCACCTGATGTGCCCAAAGTGCTAGTAAATTAAATCGGCAAAGAGAATCCTGTCTTGAAAAAAAATTGTGGCTTTGACACATAGAATGGACTGGAATCAAACATAGAAAATCCACTGAGCTGTAGAAAAAATGCCTAAGTACTACCAGCCTAAGCTAAATGAGATTGAAACTGACAGGGAAAAAAGACCTCTGAGCCCCCAGGTTTTGTGTTTGTTTTTTTTAAGTTTTTTTAAAAATTTATTTGAGAGCGAGTGCATGCACAAGGGGCAGAGGGAGAGGGAGAAGCAGACTCCCTGCTAAGCAGAGACCCCTACTCTGGATCCCATGATCCTGAGATCCCCAGATCATGATCCTGAAATCATGATCTGAGCTGAAGACAGTTGCTTGACCAACTGAGCCACCCAGGTGTCCCACAGCTCCCTGTTTTCTACAGGTAGGTAAGAGGCTGAGGAAAGTTTTAGCCACCAAAAAAATGTATAAGTTTCAATGTCCCTTTCAGAAGCAAGTGAGGAAGATGATAGAAAAGGATGCCTCAGAGGACAGAGCTAGGAGCTGTAGAGAACAATGGAGCAGAGATCTTACACCCAGCCCACTCGACTCCACCTGATGCCCACGGCTTGACTTCCCTTCCCTGGAAACAGAACCAAGATCTTAGTAAGAAATATATCCTACTCCTTTGGCTGCGTAACTTGGCTAATTTGCTTAGACGGATTTCAGAATGACTAAGGAATAAGTTTCCTCATTGTAAATGAGGTGTTCACTGTGATTCTCCTGTCTCCTATCCCTGTTAGACCATTGCATATTGTGTGGTATGAAGAGGGGATGGGCCAGTGATTTGTCTTCTTAGTTTGTAGGTTCAGTTCACACCTGGCCCAGATGTAGATCATGAAATTTTAAATGCTGGGCCAAATACCATGATTGGGTGAGACTTCTGGATGTACTTTGGAGAGGATAGGCTATTTTCATATTGGAGAGA